GGGGGGCTTATGTAGAAAACGAAGACCCTGCTCAAAATTTTGTATAATTGAAGATTTTGTTGTTTCTTACACATGTAAGGTCGAGATATCCGTTTCTAGATATTTATAAATGATTTTGAGGGAGGTCTTCGTTTTTGGGTCTTAGGTCTTAGGTCTTCGTTTTCTACCCACCCACGCTAAAACTACTCTTTCATTGTTAACTGTAAACGATCCTTGCTAACAATAGCCTGCGTAGCAAGCGTTTCCTCGCGAGGTTCGTCTAGAAAGCTGGGACAAGAGCAAAAAAAAATGAATGACGGGGGAGGGGGAGGTAACTTTCCCGCAATAACTCGATTGGAAACGATTGCTACGCAGGCTATGCTAACAACTCCCTTCTGTGAATTTTGATATGCCACTGCGCTCAACCATCACGCACACGTGAGAATTAGGCCAATCTTCAGGCACATAAAAAGGCGCATATTAAAGAAACCCGTGAGAAACCCACTTATCAGAAACGCTCACATATGTCCTTGCGACTCTGAAGGATATTAGCGGGGATATTAGACGGACTATATATATTAATGGTTTACCTTAGTGCGTGGGCCGGCTGCAACTCAGGCCACAAAATACCATACTAAGAGGCGTTATGGCTCTTAACCATACACATTGTTTGGATAACTGAAAAAAATATTGTTTATTACACCAAAAAGCGCAATGAAAACTCAAATTGTTGACACATACTAACAAAAAGGTACATTGCTTTCTATCCATTTTGGTATTTTCCTTTATCACCTGGTGGTGTTTTATTGTAATGTTCATTGTTATTTCAAAACCAGTCCATCCAGAGTACGTGCCAAATGTCCGAATATTCAGAGCGGACTACTTTGTCATGCACGTTCTCTCGCCATTAAATTATGTATCTCTTTAGTATTGTCAAGGTCTGGCAAGTGATAAGTCAACCACTTCCGATCCTATGAAGGCTTTTATAAACCTCTTATAAAACAGAATAAACAGGTATCAAGTTTGTTTTGGACTCTGGCGATAATTGAATAATTGCTTGTTTAACAACTCTTTTGTTCAAATATATTGACGTTATTAGTATTGCGATAACTGAAGCTCTTTATAATTTGTCTCACACAGTTTTTATTTACTACAGAGGCGCATTAACTTAATTTTGCAAATGCTGTCACGAAAGAATCCGCAATATCCTCTACTTGCTTTCTTAATTATATGCGAGTAACCAGTGGAGTTGTCGGAGTTTCAGCGTTGGTTTCTCCACGCGCTGCGAGTGAAGTATGAAGTTCTTGAAGATGAAGAAGGTGAACGTCATGGCTGAAACCATTAGTAAGACTCTTATCAGCTGTTTTTATCTTAACGAGATTCCTTAGACGTTGAGCAAAGCGATAGAGGAACGCCTTCAGTTCCTTTCTGAAATCTTTCGAGACTATAGAGTAAATAAGCGGATCTGACGCTGAATTTACCACAACCCCAATAACACACACATGGTAAATCAAAAAGAAATATTTGTGGAGAACAATATCCCCCCAAAATAACTGCAAAACTCGCAGTACATTAAGCGGAAGCATGGATATAGCAAAGACAACCACTATAGGAGTGAGAATCTTCTTTGCTTTGGCGTTTTGCTGCATTCTTTTTCCTTCCTCTGAACTGTGAATCATGGAATTCTCAAGCTTCCTTTCTGGTGAGCGCCTCTTTATACTTGACTTGTGGAAATGGTTACTTTGCTGAAGCTGACGGGATATTTTCACGTAAGTGAAGATGATTATCCCAAGAGGTAAAAGATACCAGAATATAGTCAGGGAAATTATATAGATCCAATGCATAGTGATTGACCATTCAACTAAACACATTGTTCCTGTACTATGCTCCTCATAGTCCATAACAATAAGCAAAGGCAATGAAACAACGAGAAAGGAGCTGATCCATATGACCAGAAGCCCCCATTTCAGAGATTTGTTGGACGAGTCAGAACATCCTCGGACTCCGGAGGTGGCAGTTATCTTTCTATAGCGTTCAATGGCTATTGCGGTAATCGACCAAACTGAAACTCCAAGGAACATCTCCGCTAAGGGATAGAAGCACAGACAGAAAGCCTTGCCAAGCGGCCAATGCGAAGGGAACTGCTCCTTAACCACTGCTATAGGAAAGTTGATTGTCAAGACCCCAATGTCTGCGAAGGCGAGATTCCGGATAAAAAGTTTTAGTCCAGAACGAAATCTGCGCTGTCGCGATATGATGAAGGCCACCATTGCGTTTCCTATGAATCCCATGAAAGCCAATGCCACCTCGATTATTAGTCGCGCAATCAACATGCCTGCTGGCTCTTGAAAAGAATGATCCAGCGTCGATGATCCTTCGGACTTGTCAGTAACATTATTCATTTCTTCTTCTTCCATCATCTCACTCGGCTGTCGTGATGTAGACTGGCTATGTAAAACGAATCCTGAACTTAAAAGCAAGCGATAAGCAAATTAGCTTATCGGAAGAGATTTGATTTTAAAATCGCCTATACTTCCGATAATATATTGCAATGTACGTATGCCGCCATCTGTTGAAAATAAATGACCATTCAGAAGTGTTATCAAGATTTAAGGCGACGCACCTAGTTCAAAACTGCAGGAGCTTGAATTAGCAGGGTATTTTCTTGAATGATATGGAACATTTCACTTTTACAGCAAAGAGGAATATTTCATGATATAGTACAGGATCACAAACCTGATCTCATTCAAGTGAAACCTAACCTCTTGAACTTGAACTCCTCCTTTATATTCACCTGCAAAACAGTTGGGGGTGGGGGTAAGTACTTATGTAGTCTGTACTGTAGTGTGGTTTCGGAGCAAAGAAAGGCCTGAGGTTCGGTTTTTAGCGGCGCGAAAAATGGAACGAGAGCAACGTTCTTCCAAACTCTCGTTCCTCGTTCTTTGCTCAGAAACCGCACGGAAACGCTTGTTCGCGTGCAGGCTGTTAGGCACAAACGTGAATGGGGAGGCGGGGGTCGGGGGGAGGGGGTGGACAGGGTTGGTAAAGAGAGGCAGTTAGTGCATTTGTTGTTTAAGACTCTGAAACGTTTCCGATCTCACCCAGAATCCAGGCTCAATTTCTTATCTAGAGCAAAGATCTCGTAGTCGGTACCTTTGAGGTAAATAAATACGATTCTATACCAAAACTACAGTACAGTCAACTATCCGGCCCTGCGTGAGACACCTCGCAAGTTACGGACACGTTGATTAACTATTAGCACGGACAACACCTGAACACGAAGCAAAATTTACAGGAACTTATGCATGGTTCAATTTGACTTGTTGCCATTTCCCACGGGCAACTCCCGGGACAAGTCAAGCCCTTCGGATCCCGGGTTGAGGAATAGTTTGAAGCGGTCCTTTCTCCGGGGTAGGGGGTGGGGCAAACAAAAAAATGTCTTCTCTTTGATTTTGCGATGTATGTGTCATTTCTCGATGGCTGTGGACCTCAAGACTACGTCTTTTTAAGGAAAAACGCAGGAATTTGTCGGAGAGTGGTTGGAGAGGAATAACCTATCAATATTAAAATATGTATATATAAAGGTACTTTATAGAAAAATTGAAAAGAATGTGCGTATCATGCGTACTCGAATGGATCTTATTTTTTGGAAAAGAAGGAAACAAATATTTTTTCAGCTTCAGCCTAGCTTTAATGATAAGAAAAGTTATATGAAAACGGATACAAGACTTTTGATGTATATAGATAAACAGAGTTCAGTCCAGTGTTCTTATGAAGTGTTCTATCAAGAGGCGCTTTTTTAAGAGTTTTTCCGGCTTCTCCGTTTCCATTTTCAAAAGAAATGTTCATGTTTTAACTACATTATGACGTCGGTTATCCTTCTCTCAATAGCGTTTATAGAGGTTGTGAAAACGTGTGTCCCCAATTAGCTAACTGTTAACACTAAAATAAAGTCATTGCTATTATTACCAAAACGTCTGGTTTTGCTTTTGTACGGATAAAAACGATATACCAAAAAAAACGCATATGAGGTCGATCAGGAGCTCGGGGGTGGGGAATTGGAGAATAGACCTCCAAGAAAGAAAAAAATTGTCAATTTTCGGGTGTATGCCCGGGGGGGGGGGGGGGCATGGTTATAAGGCATTACTGCAGCCGCTAACTGGCGCATGGCGGTCCTGAGGATCCTCGCAATGTCAGATGTTTTTTCGTCTAATCAGATTCATGTTTCATGCTGTAACACTGTAAGAACCTACAGTAATAAAAATAAAGCGTAATGTTGTTTGTTGCTTTTTTCATCATGTAACTCTGTGGAGTTTCATAATCAAAGTTCCCGGTAAATTAATAAGAGGAAAGAATAACAGGTTGACATTATGTCTTGTTCCTAAAACGCCAACTCTGTCAGTGAGAGACCTTCCATTTCTCTACTCTTTTAAGGGACACTATTCTAAAAAATCAGGCAGTAAGAAATCATAAAAACCGGTAGATGAAATTGCATATTTCTCCACAGGTTTTTTATGTGAACGGTTTTCTTTCTATATAGTAAACCTTTTTTTTATAGAGAGAAAACTGTTCACATAAAAACCCATAAAACAGCCATAAAACTGCCCGTGGACCACACAGGAGAGACGCAACACACATTTTAAGTAAGGTAAGCTAGTTTTTTATTGAAATCCTTTTATTTTCGCAGGTTAGAGAAACGATAGGTTTTTTCCAATACAAATCCTTATATTTTGAATGTTAGGCAACAATGCCGTGCTCGCCGATGCTCATATTTCGAGCTTGGGCTACCTGTGATTTCTCTCTTGTGGAAGGCATATTGGATTATTGGCACCTAAACAAGGCAGAGAAAAGCTAACAAGTCACATTGTGTCGCCTACATAAAATGCCAACCGCTTATTTTGAATTTCCACGTGCGCGAGTGTCTCAAACATGGCGGATTGCTTTTAGTTTTTGCAAGTAGGGCCCACAAAATAATTGAAGCATGGACGACGACGGGCTGCTTTTGAATCTATATTCATATAGTGATGGACACGATGTAGACACTCAAACAAAAACAGACAGGAGATCAAAGGTACCTTTGTGATAAAAATCTATTACATGGACACATGTAAGTTTTATGTCCCTCTGACCCTGTCGTCTGCAAAAAAATGATGTTATTACTTCAACTTCAAAAGTAACAGCATCCAATATCCCCTTTACATCGTTAATCGCTAGATCTATTCTTAAAACCAAACGGAAAGTTTAACTGAGAGTTCCTTAATTCCTGGCTAGCTACAGCTGTTCAGGTAGTTTAGAATCGATTCTTAAACTAAACTTTAAGCTTAAGTTAAAAAAGCAACCAAGGAACCATCAATGATTCTCAAGGCTGTTGGTGGGGGAATTAGTTCTATAAAAGACCGAAAAGGCGGTCAAAAAACACCCAAAGCTGAAAAAGCACAACAGACCTCGATCAAAACCACAATTGCAAAACAAACCTTGAATACAAAACCATCATAAACCGAAGATTTACACACCTCAATTTTGAAAACCCTAATAGATCTGAAACATTGGTGACTTGTGGAACACAGGGACTAAACAATTTACACCATCTTCATTCTAAATATTAATACCAATATAGTATCAGCTCTATCCATGGATGCTACGGTCGTAAAACTGGAATTTAAATAGTCTCAGTTCATACAATGTATTTTAGGACAATTCACAAAGATCCTCGATTGATCAGCAATTAAAGAGGACTTTGGGGAAATTTTGCAATCACAAAAAGCTATTCCATAGCTCTAAAAACCTTCATCAAAAATCCAGAATCCCACATTGCAGATTTGAGAACTTAGAGGTGAATTTGATTTGATTGAATGTTGCAGCAATCAGTCTCCTGTGACCTGGATAGACTGTAAAATAAACACGTCTAAAATAGGTTAACATGTGACTGCGCAGAGGAATCTAACCAGCACAGTTTGTTACTTCATCATTAACAGGAACTTACGGTGACTTTCACTGTGATATGATAAAAGTAATTGACTCAATGTTTCCTAGCCCTCTCAATGCTGACACATGGACAAAGAAACTTCAAACCAAATTGGAAAAACCAAAAACCACATCATACAACAATTGCAAAAAACGGCCTGTATTTTTGCCAAAAACCAAAAAATTCAAAAACTGCAAATTGTGATGGTTACCAAAACTGAAAGGCTGAAGTTTATCAGTGCAAAACCTGAAAAGCTGAACTAAAAAATAGCCAAAACTGAAAAACCGACATCCCCAAATTCCCAATGCCCCTCTCCTGTGGGACTCGGCTGCAAAACAATTTCTTGTTGGTTATTTCAACAAAAACTTCTTCTTTGCGGTATTAAATGTATACAGCTATTTCTAAAAACATTGTCGGAAGAAAAGCAAAAAGTTTAAGCCAAGACCGAAAGGTAATATGGGATTTTTATAATGACCTGCTGCAGGTCCTATAGGAGTTTTGTGGCCACTCAAGTATGTCCCTGAGATTAGTATGGAACGTCTATCTGTAAGTGAGAGTATTTCTAAACGTTGGACAACTCTTAAAACAGAGGTGGTTGGAGGGCCTTCAAGCAGTAGGGAGCTTAAGCAATACAATGATGGCAAAAGAGACCGTGAACAACAACAGGTTTAAATTAGCAAAACAACAACTAAATTTGCATGTGAATCACGCTTTTTTGTCCGTGGCCGTTGTTGCCCGACTATGGCTTGAAATGCCTCATGTTTTATAGGGGAAGTGAACAGCTGACCACAATTTTCTTTTCTTTTTTCTTTTTTTTTTAACTTAAAACTAGTCCTGTAGAATTCATTTCCAGTGGAATCGCTGTCTTTTAAAAAATTGAACAAGTTGGAATAAAGGCGATGTGGTTACAAGTCCTTACATTCTCACATGCTGGTGTAGTGCAAAATATTACCTGCCGTTGACTTTGGCGAGCTTTAACTAATTCTTGAGTAGGAACCATTATTTGGAAAAATGTTTGTTTATAATATTTTTTTTTCACCCACTTTGTTACTACATTATGCAAACTGTGTAAAATTTAATGTCATTTTTCCTTGCTAATTAGCTGAACAGAATTGCCTTCAAAGATGGGAATAAGCAAGAGTGCACTTTGACTGAAACATAATTTTACCTTGTGCTTTTTTAAAAACTAAAATGATAAGTGTGGTTCAGTATAAATGACGAATAAAAATCAGTGACCAGTTTAGTGGAGTGTTTGTTTGCCAGCAAAAGGCAGATTTGAAACAACCCACATTACCTTGCGGTCTTGGCTTGAAGACTTTTTGCTTTTCTTCCGACAACTTTTTTTGAAATAGCTGTATGTGCATGCAGTGTAATAATATAATTCTTTTTTTATTTTGTCAAATTAGTGGAAAGAAAGGAGATTACTGAAAAGACAACAATACTTGAAGCCTGTAGCTACCCAGAAGGCAAAGACATCAACAAAAACATCAACCGTACTCCATGATCAGCACAAAGGATCTTATACCAACAATTTGCCAAATCTAAGCAATGACTATGCAGTAAGATAAAAATAAGTATTGGTAAAAACATACAAAGTATAAAAAGCCTTCCTGCTAATGTAACTATGTAACTGCACCAAATAATGTAGCCCAGGACAAGGAAGGAAACAGGTCTAGAATTTGCACACACCTTGAGGGGTTTGTCATACTGGACTGGAAGCAGTATGTGAGATAGCATGAATACAAGCTGATGCATGCCCAGTCCTTTAGTGGCTTTCTTGCAAGTCACCATTCATGCAGCCCCACTGACTTTGAAGAAAAATAAAGGAAATGTTTGCAGTGTGCTCTTGAATTAGGACCAAGCTGTTGATAACTTATCCATTCCCTCCCAAGAGTAACCAAATCAAACCTCAATTATTTTAATTTTAAAACATTGCAACATCCATAAAGATGCACATGAAAGTTGATTGATTGACATGATTTTTTATGACATTATCAATATTGTACTTGTAGGATAACCATACAAACAGCTCCTTTGTGCACCGAAATGCTTCTGTGCACCCTGACAAACTGGCACCAAAAAATGCTCAGGTGTGAATTAATATATTTTGTAGAGGGAAAACCAGCGGTATTTTGCAGATAATATCATAGTTGACGAATTACTCCTTAATTTTGGGGCGAAATTTCAGCGTTAATTTGTAATTTCACATGTGAAATTACAAAATTGCCATGGCAACCCTTCTGTACGTCTCAGTGTCAAGATGGCGACGAAGTTTTAAAATGCCGTGAATGAAGATGTCAGGGCACAGAAAGACGCTTTAGAAAAGCTGAACACACAAGAGAACATCAAGAAGGATTCTAACAGGTATTTTGCCGAAAAAGTCTGAAAAATTCTGAGCTTTATAAGCCAAATTTAAGGTCTAAACATTTGAGAGAGTGGAGTTCTCGATCGATACGATCCAATATAAACATGTCAAAAATCCAAGATTGCTAACGTAATTCGTCACCCATGATATTAATAGCTATAGGTAATCAAATGGTATACTCGTGAAATTAGGGAATAATTTCACTTGCGTTTTGTCCAAATCCTAATAATTTCCCTCGCCTGAAGGCTCGGGAAATTATTAGGATTTGGATAAAACGCGTGTGAAATTATTCCCTAATTTCACTCGTCACCATTTGATTACACATACTAACTAGCTACAGTGCATGGGCAGAATGGGTCATAATCATCATCATCATTATCATCATTTTTTTAAGGTTAATTAATAAAGAGCACCACTTCTGTGTTACACTGTATGTTAACAGGAAATTTATCATTGAAGGTGATATGTTAGTGTTGCACTGCACATCTCTCACTGCACATTATAATCTAGATGGCTGCTGTGAAAAGAGTGACTATAGAAAAGTTATTGATGTGCATAATGTAAGCAGTACACTTGTCACTGAGTTTGACTTCCTCTGACCAAGGACTTTGATAGTTAATCAAATACAGTCATGCTAAACTTGTGCTGAATAACTTTAAATGACATTTGAGCTCCATCATCACTTTTCATCCTTTTGAGATATCTTGATGTAAATTCTGCAAAATCATAAATACTTCCACATGTGAATTTTGAAACTCACCACAGTCCTTTCTCAGAAATGAAGAAATGCAGGTGGAGAGCATGATTACAGTGACCCCATTGATTTTTTTTTATGATTTTAACAAGAGCAGTGCTTAAATTACTTTCAACAAGAAAAAATATTGGAAAAATCTGTGTTTAAGATTTTTTTACTAAAATTTAATTTGGAAAAAATCACACTGGTTGTGCATGTCTAGTTTTTAGCTGTGTATGTGTGTGTTTAATTGCCAAAAGTTGGTAGGTACCACTTTTTATTATGTTTTTGTTATCATCTTGACTTGATGCATTAGTGTACCAAGTTTTTTCAAAAGTCTATGTTACGGATGTTGAAGGCGACTTTGAACCGAACTGTATTTAATCCAGGTCTGAGGCTCGTTTTTAAGGCTACATCACCCCAGTTTCTTTAAGATTTACACTGGATTTTGCCTATTCCATAGACTCACAAGGTTAAAATTCATCATGATGGCTAGCAAGAACACAACTTGTTTTTTGGATCCCTCCCAGGGGGACTAGCAAGTCCGTCAAACCTTTATACGTCATCGCATACAGATGTAGGTTTTTTTTATGAGGGAATCACCTTGAAATGCAAATGGTTTAAAGAAAACTAAGTCTTGTGCATAGTTTAATTTGTTCTATACATAAGGTTCCTTGCATTGGATACTAAAATTTAATGTTGTGTTAAGCAGCTATGTCTTTATTTGAATGTTTATTTCTAGCACTTTTTTCTATGTAACTTCACAACCTTACATGTTTAGAGCATGCAGTACATGTGGGTACATGTAGGAAAGTTGTCCCTCCTGAGACAAAAATGACAACCCCAAGTGACCAGAACCCAGCTGTGTTTTATTAACCTTATCATGTCAATGTCTATGCGGCTTTAGTTTCTAAATCTAAATCTATACTCTTTTAGACGTACTTTCTTCATTTAAATTTACCTTGTCCATGGTAATTACAGGTTATTTCAAGTTTATTCAAATACAACCCAGAAATACCAAACGTTTCCATCTCAAGGTTAGTATAAAAGTTTTGCTTAAGATACGTACATACCGTAAATCCTCTATTGAGACAGTTGGGGGGGGGGGGCTTATTTAATTTAGCAATGATGATGGTATCAGTTCTCCATAAAGAACTAGAGTACAAAGCGGAAAGTTCAAGAACAAGAAGTTTTAGGTCATGCAGCCAAGGATCAGAATCAAATCTAAACTTCCAGTTGGTAAGTAAACCACCTTGGATCAGTCCACACGAAGTTTTATGGTCCTGACTGATTAATACAGTCTATCATTGTTTTATTAGTGAAGAACAATTTTGGTTGGGGAGGGGGACTTAATAGAGGAGGGGGGTGGGGCTCATTAACTTTCTTCCCCTGAAAAGGGGGGGTTATTTGAGGGAGGAGGCTTATTTGAGACGGGGGGCTTAATAGAGGATTTACGGTACTGTAAAATTCTGAAAATAAGCCCCGGGCTTATATTTTTCAAAGGCCATTTTTAAGGGGCTTATTTTTGGAGGGGCTTATATTCGGCTTATTTTATATGCGTTTCAAAATTGATTGGGCTAGCCTTATAGTTGGAAGGAAATTTACTGTTTTTACTTTGTTTTACTTTGTATTTGAGGGCAATTTCCAAGTACAAGCCCCTGGGGGGGCTTATATTTGGAGGTGCGATTTAACGAAGGGTTTTTTGTGTTATGAGTTTGGTGGGCTTGTATTTGGAGGGGCTTATACATGGAGGGGCCCTTTTTTCGGAATTTTACGGTGTGTCTGTAATTTCAAACATGATCTCTCTAGAAACTGGAGTATTAATGGTATTAGGTGCCTTCTAGATGATTCATGATTATAATAAGTAAAGAACCCTTACTTTGTAGCTTTGAGCAACAGCCCAAAGGCGCCAAGGGACAGTGTGAAAAATTGTTCTCTGGTAATAAATTTTGTGACCTGGAGCTCTCACCCTTCATGGTAAGAAATTTATTTCTAAATATTTATTATTATTCATTCAAAATATTTCCGCAATTCTGATTGGCCAAAAGCACACGCATAATTCACCATAACCAGTTACTGATGACCAAATTTGGAAGAATTTTGTGTTTAACGAGGAAATGACATCAAAAATGCAGCCTTCTACAGGTTATTGCACCATTAACCGAGAAGACCTGGGGATGAGATTGAATTGTTTTCGTTGTAAAAACTAAAATGGCGGACACTTCACTCGTTTCAAGAGTAAAACTACAGCTGGAACTAGGCGAAATAATGGCTAAAAACATAGCAAAAACAGCAAGAAGACAACTAGGAGGGCGAGATCTGCTCTGGAGAATATTTGAGGAGCTGGACAAACCTAAACATAAACTATCGAAGATAAACTTAACTTCGATGCAGGTAAGCTTGTTTTAGCTATGTTTTTAAACTAGGAATTATTATTTTGAATGAATAATAAAACAGTTATTGAATTCGGCTTTCGCATCATATGAAGAATTATGGAGATCTTGGAGGGTGTTATCTGCCTCGGCCTAAAGCCTTGACGGATAACACCCTCCTCGATTTCCATAATTCTTCATTCTTCACTTTCCTCATTCATTAATAATATTGTTAATTATTGCAGAAAGTGCATACATGTATTATATAATGACTAAAGCAATCACATGTGCTTTTTTATTTTTGGCTCATACAAACATTTAAGGCAAGGAATAAAGCCTAATCTTGAGCTTTTCTGGTCTTTCATTTCGAATTTAGCCCATTTTTCTTAAAATTCAAATGTTTTTTTTTTCAAAGTATGGGTTTTGTTTTTGTCCTCCATGTATTTAATTACTGACAAAGATTATTCTGTCATTACAATGCTAACAGCAAGTAGTTAACAATTATTGGACGAGCTTGAGCATCACGATATTTTGTGATAACAGAGTTCAATAATAATTGTTTTATGATTCGATCACCAAGTTTGTTTTTTCATAAATATCCTTGGGAAGGCAAGCGATCTGCCATTTTCACGCTTGACCGATTGCAAGAAGGAGAAAAGCATGGTTTCCTTTACGCATGAGCAGAATATTATTTGCAGCCAAACACTGTTGGATGGCATTGCACATGAGCAGACCATTATTTGTAGGCAGTTATTTGCAGGTCACGTGGTGGGCTGTCGGCCAATGAAAAGAAAGAAAAATTTGCTTAGAATGGTAATTAATTTTGATGGTATATACCTGTAAGCCATTTCCACATCATGATGTACGTCAATTTGTGCTTTTTAACAGGGGAGAGGGGTTCCAATGATATTGAGGGGAGGAAGGTGGGTACTGCAAATAGAGGGTCTCCACATGAGATTTTTGATTTCCAGAGGTTGGCATCTCTGTGATAGGCAGCTACACATTTCATCCTGTGGCCACTAATTATACAGCTTGTAAAATGTTTAATATTCTTTTCTGCATCCATATCAGTGATGCAGGGCAAGGTAGCTTGTGTCAGATCAAATTACTACTGTAAGTTCTGAAGGTAGCTAATAATACTTATACCCCTTAACATGATGGAGCAACTTTGATTGATAATAATTTACTATTATGAAAGCAAATGTATTTTGTTTAATGCTTATACTGTTATCCTCAAAAGGTATCCAATCTTGAAAGTAACTTAAAGTTGACTACCATGACCAGGTATTTGTTCAATGTTGGTTAAGACAAGCTTGATGAACGGATAGTAAAGTACAATGTTTGATTATTTACATGTGATTGGTGCCCAAAAAGAAACACTGAGAAGTTGTAGTTTAATGACTTTCCTTGCAATAGATGAATAAGATAATTATCATGTTGGCTCATATTTATTCAGCAATAATAATAAAAAATTAATCATTCAGTACACTTTAGTCTAATTATAATTAATATATGAAGGAGTATGGCAAAATTAAGGCTTGGTGCTTTGTGTACATCAATCTTGTTTAGATCTTTCTTTGTTTGATATGCTTGCGACATTTTACTGAACATACATGTGACGACGCCTTTCTCACTAATAATGATAACTGTTTCTTTTTTGCAGTGTACAAAAGGCAGTTATTCCTTCCTTGCTGGAAGGCAGAGATGTGTTTGTGAAGTCCAAGACTGGTACAGGTGCAGTACTGTACATTGTTTTAAATTTTTGCATGTATCATGGTTGTGAGGAAAATTTCTAGTGGAAGGAAAGAAAAATAAGTAGGTGGCTATAGATTAGATCAGATGGTGTGGAAGATATGATGAAAGTGGGGTTGCTAACTTGCTCCCAACTACATTTTATTAGGGTATCTGGGGACAATTTATATCGAGCCCTTCAATTACTGTTGTTGGTTATGGTTTAGTATCCCTTACAATACATATTATACTAACTTCTTACATGAATTTTTTTACTCTTTTTGATACTTTTTTGTTTTCTTATAGGAAAAACTCTTTCATATGCGGTGCCAGTAATACATTCCCTTCAGAATATAAAACCAAAAATAGCTGTGAGTGAATGTGCATGTTTAAACAATGTAACTTTGCCCTTCTTCAAATGTATTACCTTTGTTCACTTGTTAATAGAAGAAGCTTACAGTAAAAGCTTACAGTAAAACCTTTGTCAATCATACTCTCTGTAACTTACATGTAATACTACTTTTTGTGTTTAATTAGCCAGTAACTTAGGTTTTTGTTGGCAGTGAAACACGATTGTGTTTAGTAGTCTGTTTTTATTGTGATGAATGTATCATTTTTTTCTCATTTAGAGAAATGATGGGCCTTATGCCATAATTCTGGTTCCAACAAGAGAGGTAAATATTTCATATTTTTTTCCTGACACTTTATTTTTCAAGTTCAGGTTTCAGCCCAATCTATCGAACTAGTGTGCGTGAGGGGTATACGACGAAGACAAAGTAGGAAAACTTGAGCAGACAGGAACCTGTTCACAGGTTATATCAGTTTAGTTTCTTCTTAATTTTCTCATGCATCTAAGCATTTTTACGGTGTAAAAGAAGTGTTGCGCTGCACTTGCAATCAAAGTTTGGCAAGATCGAGAATACTTCAGCAAGTTTGGTGGCGGTCACAAAAACGGTTGTATATCTTGGCTTTGAAACGTTTGCTTATTGCACTGAAAAACGTGAACAATTGTAATTACAATATTGGAAAAATTAACAATAACAAGAAACTGAAAAGTGTATGGTAAAATCACTTCTCATAATCAACCACCTCATGATCCAAAACACCAAAATTCTCCCTGCAGTCAAATCTGTCCCTCTAATCAGAACCTCTCGTAAATGCGATAAGCGACTGTGTCCAATTTTTGGCCTGACAGTTGTATTTAGGTTTTCCAATGTTTTTAGCCTCTTGTAAGCGACCACTTGGAGTGGTGTTTGTTCGCGTTTTGTACTACACCGCTCATAGTATTAGAAGAACATACAGTGACAAGATGAAACTACAAGTATACGTACAACTTAAAACTTGCCTGCAGTAAATCATCTTCCAAAAAGTAGGTGTTCTGCCGCCGTTCTGCCGGGACCTCTTTACGGAAGAGTAGAGACCTGACCCCGTGGCTCGATTCTCGTTATAGTGATCACCTCCCGTAAGCGACCACTAAGTCTTCACATTTTGGGTGGTCGCTTATGGGAGGTTTGACTGAGTGTTTTATTGTATCTTTTATTGTATCTTTTATTGTATCTTTTATCGATTTACAGTTCATACTTTGCTAACAGTGTATAATAACATTCTTTTTAAGCTGGCCATACAAAGCTTTGATGCATTACAAAAACTGGTTAAGGTACATTACTCTATACTGATTACAGTATAATGTTAAGTATAGTTGACCAGTTAAAGAAAAATGAATGTTTCGAACTTGCTTTTCAAGCTTAAACCTTGTGTGATCCTTGTCTGTTAGCGAGTATAAAATTTTATGACTAGCTAGCTAAATATACTTGAACAAGTAATAATATTTTGTTCCCTTTTAGCACAGTAAAGCACATAAAAGCATAATATCTAGGAATATCTTTGCGCACACTTGTGCACAGTTGTGCATATGGGAAAGTTGCTCACTTTTCTTGAACAAGTTGTTACAAAAGGTGGATGACACACGAGGGTGCTCTAAGGTTTGAGTAATGCATGATGTTTCTTGTTTTCCGCAGCCTTTTCAGTGGGTTGTGCCAGGAATTGTCACTGGAGGAGAAAAAAGGAAATCTGAGAAAGCTCGGTAATTTGAAACTCTATTTTAGAAAATGGAATGCCGTTGACGCACATAACAAAGTTGTTCACACGAAACCCTTACGTAAAACGGCATAGAAGTTTCCAGTTGAATTGTGACGCATCTGATTTTGAGACAGGAGTTGTCAGAGTGACTTAGATTACGCCCAGCGCAGATTGTTACTAATAACAAAGAAACAGGATCACGGAAAAGCAATTCTCAAATAGCTTTAATTTCTTAATTTTGTTTGTAAGATATTATTTTAAATCAAAGGACCCACAGGGATTTGTTATTGCGTCACTTTTATTAGTCAAGGTTTTAGTGTACAAATGACCTACTTACAGTGTAGCAGACCCTGCATGAAAAATATGGGGCACGAGTTGAAACAGGTCAGGCTTGCGCCCCCATTTTCCCTGTCGCGTGCAACTGAGGCTGTTTGGACTCAATCTTTTCGAGTAAAAGTGTAGCCCTGCCATAAATTTTTTATTAAGCTCATTTTTTTGTTATTTTGTTGATGTTGTTGTTTTTTTCAGAATAAGAAAAGGTATAAACGTTCTTGTTGCAACTCCAGGAAGACTCCTCGATCACATTGAGGTACATCACTATCGTTCTTATTGATTGTTTCATGATTTAAAGCCGTTTCTTGTCTTAGCTCACGAATGAAATATCGTCCGATAAATTCTTTGTGAGTGTTACAGGTGTATCCGGAACACACCTTTGTTGCGGAGGGTAAGTCGAAAGAGAGAAGGACCAAACGTAGTACAATCAAATTAACTTCCCGGTCGGCTCACGCTCTAACACAGACTGCACCCCTCACACTGTATTGTAAGGATTTCCTTTGGTGTCCATATGAATTAGTTTGACTCAACAAACACCTGCATCATTATTACGAAATGATTAAGACTTGTGTCTATGTTTTTTCTTCCTGCCTGCCTTATAATGAAGATGTACATTGTATTCTCTAATCGTTTAGAAAACTAGGAGTTTGGAATTAAAGAGACTTCGCTGGATAGTCCTTGATGAGGCTGACAGGTATTGATCAAGAACTAACGTTGAATGCGCCACTCCAAAAGAAACTAATTGACGAACTGGATGTCCTTTTCTTACTTTATGTTCCATTGTGTAGTCTTGCTTGCAATTTACCGCTTTCTTTTTTTTCTTCCGTAAATTGCTTTACTCTGAACGAATGTTGTAATATATATTTTTTCTTTTCACTGTGCATTACCAGTTTTGCTGAGTTCTGTGGTTGACTGAGAATGTAACTTTTGGCCGTATAATTTACAGGTTGTTGGACTTAGGCTTTGAGAAGGACGTAGCGTCTATTCTATCTGCTGTCAAGAAGGCTCTGTTTGCTGGTGTCAAATGTCAAACCGTTCTGCTTTCTGCTACACTTGGTGAAGGTAAACGAGCTGTACAATAGTTGTCAGTTCTATACTGGGTATCTATTTCATTCTGGTCAGTGATAATGTTTTTAAAGAAGGAGGTATCTTAGGAGTAAGACTGAAGTCAATAAAAAGACGATCAACAAGCTGCCAAACATAACTTCTATAAGAATGAAGCTTGAAGGTGTACCAACAAATGATAGAGAGATTAAGCATCGCGTTTACGGCAAACGGCAAACGTGAGATTCATATTAATAAATTTTTAAAATAGGAAATGAGCAAATAAAAAACAGCTAAAACCAATGGAACTGGCGTGAGTCTACCGATTTCCGTGTAGTTATAATGAACAGTAAACGGCAAGTAAAGGGAGAACTTGGTCACGTGTACAAACTCACGTTTTTCTTTTACCGTAAACGTGACTCTTAATCTCCTTATTGATTTTGGCCATACTGAATTTACATTTTTCCCAAAGCCGTGGAGAGATTGGCAGGTATCAGCCTTCATGAGCCACTATTTATTGACATCACAGCAGATCAGATCCTGACAGGCGACGACTGTAAAGCACAAACGGAGCCGGTACAGGTTAGCAAGTGCGGCTGTAAAATTTATGTAATTTATTTATTTTATTTATTTAATCACTTTCACCATGATTAAAATACTAAAAAAGACTAGGAGAAAAAAATACATTCGAAGAAGACACAAAAACGAGGGACGAAGGTGCGGGACACACAACAGAGCGAGGCTCCCAATTAAGTGTGCACTTAAATTTTTTTTTTGGCTTAAGTTTACTGGTTTCTGCGGATTGATAATAAAGACTTGCTACCGGAAAGGAAGAGAAGATGGAAAAAAATTACTCTCGTCATAAATGTATAGCCGTCGGCTCAAAATTAGAGATAATTTGAAATACAAAGAAACTACTCAGACTGTCTCCTCTCTATGATATTTTGTCCAGGGCCCAGTTGCTCGAAGCATGGTTAGCGTTAACCAGCGTTTAATACCTTGACAACGTATTGGTTTTGATACTGCTTAACCAATGGTTAAAGCTAACCATGCTTTTAGCAACTCAGCCCCGTTCTCTTATGTTTAAATTGTTGTATAATTATTTGCACTTCCTTAGGGATTTTCCTTATTCGCATTTCTTTTAGCACTCACCGAGTGCCTCTTGTTGTGCATTGCCGCTCAAGCCATCTAAATCACTCTTCCACTTTGCTGCTGATTGCTATTCTAGGTTTCAAGGGATGTAAGTTATACCACTCCACAGCAGTTGAAACAGTTCTTTATGATTGTCCCAAGCAAGTTACGTTTGGTCACATTGGCAGCATTTTTACTTTGGAAAAACCAGCCACAGGTAGTGAAATTAGGCGAATCTTTGTTTACACTTTTTGCCTCATAATCGCTAATAAAATAAAAAGTTAAACTCTGAATATTGAAAGAGCATAACAGTTTCAGTTATCTCTGAAAATTTGAACCCAAAACACCGAATGGTTTCGGAGAAATTCTCTTCTAAAAACTCGAAATTTTACAGACAATGTGTGGTTCATTAACTTTTATGCCACCTGGCAATTTCGCAGTTTTTGATGGATGATATTTCTTTCAATATTGCTTGCAAAGAGCTGAAAATTGCACAAATTGCTCAACTTAATCAGCTCTTTCAACTTTTGCATTTAGTTCATATAACAGCCATGGCTTCTCTGAGTTAAGTCGTATGGTAATGAGGAAAAAAGTAAACAATGACGTCGAAAAAGATTCGCCTATAGCCTAGTTCCACCCCTGGTACTGCCCTAGGGAGGAAGGGAGGTATCCTTCTTGTCGTGCACACATTTAAGTTGTAGATGAAAGGATAAAACCCTTGTATGTAACCCCGCTAGCCACCGGTGTGCCGGGGTTGACAACCTCAGCGCATCGTCATTTCTTTCTTTTTTTCTTAAATAACAAGCACCAGAGTGACTTGGACTCGCTGCTAACTGAATTTACTCACCTCTTCAAACGATCTTGGCCTTAGTTTCTTGAGGTGTGTATTTGCAGTGTTGCAACACTTTATGGAGGAGGGCCCGGGTGTTATAGCAAAGTAAGTGAATACATTCTGTCTTACGCAATGTTTATCTTTCTTTAGGTTTCACCGGCCGCCAAAGTGATAGTTTTTATGTCAAGTCGCGACTCTGTTGATTTCCACTTTGACTTATTCAAAGACTGTCTTTGTTCACATTCAAGTAAGTTTTTTCTTTCTCAGTTTGATCTTATGTTAGTATGCGACGCAAGTTTTTTTTAGGATGGATGTTAAGAGTTGCTGTGTGCTCATTTTTTTATAACGTTGATCTGTCTGTGGCTGGATGATGGGTGGAGGGAACAATAAAAAAAAAAGAAGAAGAAGAAGAAAAGGAAAAGGACTGGCAAGCATTTTGTTATGCTATGAGGAGTAACGCAGTGCAACTTTTGACGTCAGGTGGTGTGGGTACTTTCACCAATTTTCAATCCTATATTCTTACCCCACCCCCACCCCAAGACACCACAGTGTTTGTTTGTTTGTTTTTTAACTGCAGCTTATTGTTTCTCAGAGACACCACTGACCTTTCTTAAGCTTCATGGAAGTATGTCTCAGATGGTAAGCATCGACCGGCACTTCATTCCATTTGGTTCAGAAAACGAAAGATAGACTACTTTAAGGTGGCTCGACTGGATTTTTTGGGGTTGATACCTCCCCAGTTTGAGCATTAACTACGTCGGCATGAGTAAAGATATGGAAAAACGGTTACCACAGCTGTATTATATAAAGATGAAAATTCCTTATGATCTGGGTTTTATTGTAATCAGAGTCGCCATGGCAACGTAATGACGCCATTACGTTTTTCATTTATCTTTGTGTTTCTCTGTACCAGGAGTTTTTTGAAGAAATCGCTTAAGGGAGTATGTACCTGCCATACTAAATGCTAAATGTGCACGTGTATATGAAACTTGAAAACAATGCCAGTGAATAATGAGGACGCTCACTTGTAAACACAAAATCTGCCGCGTTCCCAAAACTTATCATTTTCTTAAAATATCAGCGAATTGTGTGGCTAGCATGCTATTTCACTGTTTTTATGATTCTTAAAACTGCATTTCAAAATATTTCGAAAACGCTCTCATAGAATTTGTTTTGATTACAATAAAACCCAGATCATAAGAAATTTTCATCTTTATATAATACAGCTGTGGTAACCTTTTTTCCATATCTTTACTCATGCCGACGTAGTTGATGCTCAAACTGGGGAGGTATCAACCCCAAAAAATCCAGTCGAGCCACCTTAAGTACATAAACGTGTGATGTAAAATCATGAGATAAAAACTTCTGTGGTCATTGTGACGAAGTAGTACTTACACTTGACAAGAGGATCGAAGCCATGAGAAATGAAGTTTTCTCTGTGTTCTCGGCATATAGTACGTGAGAGGGTCAAAACAAAGCTTACAGGAAAATGGTAATTTAAGGTGAATATACCAATAACTTTCCTTCTCCTGATAGGAAAGGACAGCCATGTTCAAGAGCTTTAGTGACGCTGAAAGTGGCATTTTATTTTGTACGGTAAGTTATTATAAGCTTTTTTGTGTCTACTTACCATTCAATATTTTCTACCCGCTTGTCTTTCTTCTGGCCCCTCAGAGTCAATACCAATCCAAGCGTGCTAGTCCATGATTCAGCGATTTATTCTGTGCCTTATATATCTTATATGGACCTTAAAGGTCAGAAGTGCTCCTTGTGCAACATTGTAAGACCTATTGCACTTGATAATATTGCTTACATATCCTCTCTGGGCCTGAAGTTAAATACAGCATTGCGTGGAATCTCATGCAGTATCCTTTGTTCACTCCTGAAGTCGATTAATGTGTTGCGGTACGCGGCATTATACGTGGTTCACGAGAAACTGTTTAACCCTTTCTGAAACTGATCCACTTCACACAGCCTTCAGGGGCACCCAACGACTGTTTTCTGTAAAATATCTGTGAGAAACAAATATTGCCTAGAATTTTCTTTTCCTTTATGACGGCTAAAAACTTCTACATTTTCTGAAGTTTAATTTTTCACATTTTACTACCCAGGTTACACTCTTTTTCGTAGGAAAAGGAAACTTAAAATTTTCGTATTCTAAAATGTGATGGAGACTGAGGAATCCGGAAAATTCTCACTTTCGTATAACGGTTAATTGCACCTAAAATTTTCGGGAAAATAATACTGAAGCCCTTGTAATTTCGAAAAGACTCAAGTTCCGCTAGGATGACCGAATAGACACAAATTATGTAACGCCGCTTACATTACATTTCTGGAGAATTTAAAGTACTCTGAATAGCCTAGAAAGTGTTTGAATTTTTCTTTGTATTCGGACCGGACGTGAAAGCCTTATGACATTTCAAACATATCGCGCGAGGTTGAACACAAGAACCGGAATATTAGTCCCAGTTTATTTGTAGTTTCTTAATGGCGCCTTTTTTTTCAGTAGATTATTTTAATATTTTATATTGCAGGATGTAGCTGCAAGAGGACTGGATTTACCTCATGTTAATTGGATAATCCAGGTAAACTAATCATCATCATTATTTTTCTTTCAAAAATATTCTTCGAAGTAGAAATATCCTGTTTCGTTACCGGTAGATTAAATATTTGGAATGCAAGTTTTCTTGCGTTTTTTACCCTTACAGGAGGTATAACTGTTTACAAACATTGTTTTTGTGATTTAAATTTGTAACGAGTGAAATTAAAGAATCTTTTGTTTTGAAGAACCAATGCGCTTTTGCTTGGCACATAAACGTCAGCTTGAGTACTGCTACAGTCCAGTTTTTTTAATAAGAGTGATTTACATCAAGTTGCCTCCACATTTTTTTGTATATAATGTAGTACAACACTCCAGGAAACCCAGCCGATTATGTTCACAGAGTTGGTCGCACAGCAAGAATCGGACTGAAGGGGAATGCCTTGCTCTTTTTATCTCCTGCTGAAGTAAGTTTAAATGAATCCTGTTCTTACCAATATGTCGGTTGCGTCTATATATGATAAACCCCAAAGCCAGAGAGAGCTGATCCTGTTTATCTTGTTCGGTGTATTTTGTCGATGAATAGCCATTAATTTTTCCAAGTTTTCCACTTCCAGTTATTTGCCTTTTTGTTACACTGTTATCTTTGACTTTGTTGTCAATCCATAGTGTTATTGTCCTTGTGGAAAAATGTCGTGCTTGTCTTCCTCATAAATGCAAACGTAGAAGTTTCTTTTTTGGTACTGAATTGTGGGGTTGAGCCGGTACATTTAGCTGTCGGTAAGAGATTTTCAATGTACAGTCGACTCTCTCTTAACGGACACCTCTGTAAAACGAACACTTAGAGTTGGTCCCTGCCTTTCTTTACTCCCTTTATTTGACTCTCTATAAGACGGACACCTCTCTAAGACGGAGACTTAGACAAAGGTATCCGTGTTAGAGAGAGTTGACTGTACTCATTCCCTTTATTGTTTGCTTTTTTTCTTATGATTTGTCCTCAGGTGGGGTACTTAGAAACACTAAAGAAGCATGGAATCAGGTTTGTAAATAGCCTCTAGCAAGCCCTCCTTTTATAGCGAGCGAAGCAAGCCGCGAGGGGCGGCGGAAAGAAGAACTCTCCCTTTCTTTACACGCCCAGCCTCGCACTCGCGTCTCCTTTCGTGTGCTGCTCTCGCGTGACTTCTCGCGACTCCCCCAAATGAAGAGCTTGCTCGCAGGCTAGTTTCTAAATAAACAGCGTCTTTATCCGGAAGTTCTGTCAAGGGATGTCTGTGGCAGATGAATGGGCTCTTTTGTTCACATTTTAGCCCAGCGGTTTAACTAAATGACTTTTAGACTATTTGGCGGTAGCCTTGTCAATAAAAAATGCTCCTCTTTCCCCCGCTACAGTTTTTTCGCGCCTCCAGATGGAATGAACATCTTGTTCAGTTTAGTTTCGTTGTTTGCCTCTCTTAGCCCGCATTATTTCCAATTTGTGGTTTTCAATAATCACTCAACTTTATAATAACGATGTCTCATTGCAGCCCTGACGAGTTATTTGTTAACGAAGTGCTCAAAACCCTGGTTGTGTCTCACCATGTTTCGTCAGGGAGGAAAACCAAGGTAAGTAATTCAGTGACGTGAGTAGTATTTGGCTGGTGGCCACTATACCTCTTATGTATGTATCATATTGAACTGTATGACTTTAACCTATGAAATGTTTAAAAACCAGTTCATGTATTGATGAGAAATAGAGTTGAAGGCATGTATCATAACTGTTCCTCGTCGGTTTCCCATTCGCCACGTTATGGGCACAGTATAACTGGAGGTTTTAAACCACTCACGTTAACATCATTGTCTTATTCTGTAGAATGTTTTGGACCACAACGCGCAGGAGTCAGCCACAAATTTGCAGAATTCTTTTGAGGATTACGTTCTTTCCGAGCCGCGTCATTTGAAAGCAGCAAAGACTGGTAGGTTTTTATGCCGCTTGTTTTGAAGTAAGGCCACGTTTGCGCGAGAGTTCTTGAATTGAGAAAGTTTGTTTTTTTCTCACTTTTTTAGGCCGGTGACACATACATGTACTTGTCCCCGATCTTACAATTTCAGTTGTAATTTTTTTTAAACGTGAAGAGGATAAAGAAAGCACCAATGGTTTGGCTACTTTTGTCTTTCTTTTCAGTATTTGTCGTCACTTTGCGGGATGCCTAAGATACCAACTCTGAATATTCAACGCTTCATTTGCCGCTCATAAATTTTATTCGGCAAAATTTATTCAGTCGTGGAAATCCCGCAATGCCGCAGTGTAAGAAAAATGATTCGATAATTGGTGATCAGAATTAAACCAGAGAAATGGAAGTTCCGACCTGTTGAATATTTCTGTTGACTTTTTCAGCATATCAGTCATTTGTACGAGCCTACGCAACTTATCCCAGCAATTTGAAGCACATTTTTCATATCAAGAACTTGCACTTGGGACATGTGGCCAAAAGTTTCGCTCTGAGGGAGGCCCCGAAAGAAATGTTCCAATCAACCAAGAAGCACAAGAACCAGAAAAGGAAAAGGTTAGGTTATAATTTAACTGGGAGGACAGTGATTATGAGAAGAGAATTATGTTGGTATAAATCTGTTTAGTATAGCTCTCACTGCGTGACAACCAGGCGAGACTTTCTGATGCGATGTTTTAAGAAGGACGAAAGCATTCTTTCTGAACTTGGTTCGGTGCATAAGAATTTATTTTGTGGCCGACAAGTTGAGCGAGTCATGTTACTTTAACTCGACGCCTCAGAAAGACGTGAAAGAGTGACTGTTCGACCACATGCTTGTTATCAAATTAGGCAAGCGGGTTGATATTGGTTTAATTTTTTATTTTTCTCTATATTTTTTTATTTATTATGATTGACAACAGTTCTTACTTTGATAATCCACTCAATTTCTTCCCTTTGTCATTAAGTGCCTTTTCACAGAACTTCTTTATGCTGCCTTATATGGCGATCAACTGTTTTATTTTGTGTCTTAGGGATCGTGATAAAAAGACAAGTGACAACAAGCTGATGCTTGAGTACTCATCAGATCGCAGTGACCTACAGGGTCCTTTGCCCAAGAAACGAAAGAAGAAAACAAAATAGATAGGGCTATAGCGCATTTTTTTAAACTAACTAGTGCATTGGCCTACTACAGTGGAAGCTGGACGGACGATGGAGCATCGCCAGGGTGCTCGAACGTGAGAGGTGCACTTCCTTCACGTTCTGCGCCCATCGTGCGTTTCACGCGAGTCATATGTTCTCACTCTTCCTTTTACACACCACGCAAACCACTAACACATTGATTTTTCTGTTGTACGATACATAACCGATACAAACACGAGGGCGCAATTCTTACGCGCTATGCGCCCTCTCTGCTGTTCACGCGAGTAGAATTCCCCTCCTGTTGACTATTGTAAGAGCTCCAGGTTTTGGAAGATCATGATAGATGACTATAAAATAATTTGAGGTGTGCATCTGTGTTTCTAATAATTTGGGAAATTAATATTAAACTTGTACAGTTCTTATCTTGGTCAGATAATCAAATGGGCTTCCCTTTAAGATTTCTTAACACTCAATTGCTTGACTCGAATGCGTCAAAGAAGTTGACAAAAAAGCAATAGCGAACTTCACATTTGCAAGTTCCACCGAAACGAAACACGACTACTGTATGCGACTGAGAAATATGTTCAGATAAAACGTTATTTTGAAAGTTAGTAGGTTACAATGTAAAAGCAGAAACTCCATAAACTTAAGAAATTCTTTGCAGATTTTTGCATACTGTCACTTATAGCATGCCCTGCGAGCAGTGGTTTCTCCAAGTCGGACGCAACGCTACTGCGAGCCAAACTGCGAGCAACCGTCTGCTTCTTTGACATTCTCGACCCCAGTGCTTACGGGTTTGGGAATGCATGCGTAAGCTCTGGGAAACTCTGCACCAGAGTAGCCAAAATCTGGCTATTTGGGTCTCACAGCGCATGCTCTTTTATCCAACCAAAACGTTTTGCTTCTTTTATATCTACTTCATCGCGAAAATTTTGTGCTTCTTCGGAATTAGAGCTAAAGAAATTAACGGAGCCCTTGAAGAATTTTCAGGTATCCAAGGCTCTTGTGGTAGCTGCTGAGCAAATACCGTTAAACGTTTTTCTGTTTACTTTTCTCTTGCAAGTCTGTTTTTTTGCATATCAAAGGCTGAGCACTTAACCTCCTTTTGATACAGAGGCCCGGGGGGAAACTCGGAAATAATGGCCTATTCAGTATTTAATGGGTTTATTCATTCCTACCTGCTACTAACTTTGTCAAATGTAGGCGAACCTAACTGGAGTTGAATTCCTAGAGACGAGAGGGTTAATGTGGTAGTCAACAAATTGTGAGATGCGTTCAGTCCGAGGGTGGCTGTTAGATGAAACTATGGGGCGTCCAGGATTTCCCTTTTTATGTATTTTAGGTAGTATGTAAAAACGTCATGACCCTTGAACCTCATGGCCTAAACCGCCGTGACGAATTATTGTAATCCATCTCTTTAGTATTTTTCCTTTCCAGTTTTTGTGTTGTACGTCATTTCCGCCTCTCCCTTTTAAACAATTTTTATTGCGACATTCTCCATTTATATAATATTGTGATTGCTACATAAGTTCAGTAACATCTGTAAACCTGAAGAGGCAATACACGTTGTTTTAAATCAGCTTTGCAGTAGTCTTTAGACTTCTCGTTCTTACATTTAGCTGCATTTTATACGTTCCCGTTACTGGCGCTATAATCATCAGGGACCTCACGAAACCACGACGACGACGGCAAAAGGAACGTCAAAAAACAGTAGGTTTAATAAGCGAAACAAAAACTCTGCACACGCATCACGCTTTTTTTTACATTTCTTTGCCTTCACTGCACAACTACGACGTGAAATGACCAAATTTTAGGTTTACTTGGGAACGGGAACGGCAAGGAGATAAATTCTACCATCTCTGTCCGAACTTGAGCGCGTTCCCCTGTCTTCAGCACCAGCCAAAATCCCCTTCTTTTAAGTAACAGGACGAATTGGGATAATCGCGAAAAAGGTTAAAATGATGCGACGTCTGTTTTTCAGCGACGTTTTCGGATCGTAAGGTCCCTACGGCCCATCGTCGGCGCGAACTGTCAATTCGAGTCAAATTCAGTTTATGAATTTCGAAAGCAGCTCTGTAGTCAGGTGATGCGTCATCTTTGAATAATCTATTTTCTACATTTCAGTGCTGGAGCTTGGCTGTTGCTCAAAAACACAACACCAGAAACTGAGGAAAAGGATCTGTTTATAGTTGCAAAATATTCTTTATATTAACAAGTTTTCTGTCCAGTAGAAGTAACTTAAAATAAGATTTACATTTTTCCAAAGCTTACAGTATTTATGCAGAGAATAGATAATTTAAATGTAAAAAGGCGGTGTTATCTTGGTGCGAGGCAGCTGAACAAACTTTGCTAATGCAATAACTATTACTTACCATTCACAAGGTAGCACACTTAACCTAATTAACAGTACAAGATAACAAGGATAGAAGGTTGGATCCGGTTACTTTAAAACGAAAAGTGTTGTAAATGATAATCGCACAAGAAAGTACACTTTTTTTAATAAACACTAAAACACCAAAAGCTTATTTGCACAGGCATTTTTCTATTCAGAATACCAGTTGTTGACCAAACACTTCGCGGCAATTCTAAATTATGAAAACACTTTATATAGAATTTGTCAAATTGACATGTCAAAATTCAAACTTTTATTTGCGTACTAGAGTAATCACTATTGATTTTCATGTAGGTAAAGCTTAAAATTTTGGGGGGGTATCAAAGAACTCTGTTTTTCTGGGTGTACTGCGGTAAAAGCTGCAGCTGAATTTCGACATGCAGCACAAATAGTATCATTTCGGCAGATTGCGGTTGATTCGCAGGCTAGGCCCCTCAAAACTGTCTAGATTGACTTAACTAAATGGGTTGGCGTTCATTTTATTTTCTCAGCTGTCTTTATTTTAATTAGATTGTTAAAGCCAGCATCATTGTTTCTTCTGTGTGTTTATTTTCTACATTTAAACTGGCAAACTGTAATTTTTGCCCTTTAAGATGAGTACTTTAAGAGGGGAATAATTTAGCTAGACGCTCGTTCATTTTCGGAAGCGTTTTATCGAGTTGTAGTATTCCTTGAAACGAAGTGTTTTTATAATAGGTAGAAAGAGATCAGGGAAAAAGAGAAATGATATAGAAAATTGTTCTGCTAGAAATGCCGCATCAGTTTCAACACTGTCCTTGTACGTGACATAAATTATAGTTAAAATGTACCAAGGTAAAATGCACAAGAACATTGGTACAGTCAGAAGTAAAACAAGTATCAGGTACTTTCTTGAAGTTCTTGAAGCCCGTTTTCTGTGAAGCTCTAGCTTTTCAGCGGACTGAAGAGTTTCTCGGTTCATTACTCTGTTATTGGTTTTAATATTCCAGTAAGTGATGCTAACCAAAATAAACATAACAAACATAGGGGCTGAAATAAACATATGGATATAAACGGTGTAAAATACGATTTTGTTTTTTCCAGTAAGCTGCAAACAAGCAAATGTCAGGGCACAAGACTCTGATAGCAACAAAGTGATTAGCACTCTGTTTTTGGTCATAAAACGGCGATGAAAATGAGGTAATATAAACGCTGAGCTTCGCTCAATCGTCCTTAGGAGGGCCGCATCCACGTTTGACTGCGTGAATAGAAGAACTGTTACAGATAGATAACTTGGGTTGCTTGCAAAAAGGACAGTTGTCTTGGTCATTTGCAAACTCTGAAGAATCACTGTAATTCCAAAGCAAGGAAGAAAAAACACACAAGCCAAGAGATTGAGGTAGAAGGACGCGATGTTAATTTTGTCGATTACTTTGTTAAAGCGAAGAGGATTTCTTCTTGTCGCCATAACCAGGAGGATGTTTGTCAAAAAGATTGTTACCGCAAGAACAAGTGAAAAGCAGCCATTGCACATTAGTACAATCTCATCAAATTTCTTAATCGGTTGCTTCCCTGAAAAGGACTTGTTCATTTTTTGGTAGTTCGCTTTGCGCCTCACCAAAAAGCCTTGTTGACTGATTTAACTTCGCCTCAGTGTATGCTCACGTTTTCTTCGCTGTTTGGTGCAGAGGATGTGACATGAAGTGTTAGAACTGATCATTCAGTGCGAAATGTTTGCTTTTAAAAATCTTTTAAACCCTTAGCCAATGGTGTTAGCGAAAGGACAAGCAGCGTCATTATAATTAGAATAGCAATGTTTTAGCAGAAACAAAGAAAAGAAAATATTGTTTTTCAGTGTTTTGAAAGCGAATACGATTCTTACGTTGACATTTTATATGGAAGTCGGTCTGTTTTTCGAATGGTTTTAAAATATTTTCAATTTTCAGTGTAGATCGTATTACGAGTTAGGTCGCTAAAGTGGGGAAAAAAGCCGATGACTCAATCATTTACAATTTGAATCATTGTAGGGGAAACCCTGTACATTTTAAACACTTACTTACAAGATGTTTGTGGTCACTGAAGTACAAAGAGCAAAGTAACATGGAAACAAAATGACCAACTTAACTGTCATTGATATTCATTCTCGCCTCAGGGTCTTGCGAGCAGGTGCAACGTAATTGAATATATTTACAGGATCGTATAACAGCTCCCCTTTTGGCCTCCCTGGACACTATGAGGACTGAACAAAGAAATATTTTTAAATATATTTTTGACGGGTACTAAAGAGATACCGACAAAAACACAAACGAAAGCAGAAATAATTGCTACTTACCATCAGTTATGGATACTATAGCCAACCGCATTACAAAGTTTCGATATTTGAGAATACTAATTTACAAAATATAGCTCTTTTATGGCGGAAATTATTATAACTAAGACGTGAAGATACTACATAATATGGCTGTTCCCGAGTACAAAATAAGGTAATAAATTATTAAGTTCCTTGATCCATTTTTAAATTAACAGTTTATAGCAACAAAACTTAGCATTATAAACTAATACTAAACAAATTATAAGCTACGATTAACACTAATACTAATCATAAGAGAAAATATCCTGTGAGCAGTGATTTCTCCAAAGAAACTCGAAGAGCTAAGGCTATACTGCTGCCAAGAAAAACCCAAACGAAAAACCTGTAATTTATACTTCTACTTGTTATACTTGCAAAATATTTTCATATGAATAAATAAAAAAAATTCACCTTTTTAAAACTTCACATTTTAAATTGTAACTTCAGTCATGTCAACAACCTTCTATCTATAGGAACGAAATCCAAGTCCATGTTTTCTCATTAAACCGGCGTTGACTCAGGGTTATACGGTTGAAATGTAGCTTTGGTTGCTAATATGGCTGCAACTTGATGAACGAAATAGAGCCCATCTCCATTCTTGTTCCAAACCAAGTTCTACACGTTGAATGGCCTATTTTCAGTGGTGATACTAAGTTTCAACATTCGCTGAAAAAATGGTACAACATTTGTCGATTTCACCAACAAATCAGTTTTAAACCGTGTGTTGGTGGCTCTGGTCGCCGCATGGTAGAGTCAACATTTGGCCTAAAAATTTTAATCAAGTCCGTTTGTCTAGAATGTCCTGCTTCAAAGAAATATCTAAGGGGTACTTTAGGTTATTACTACGGGAATGGCGCAATAGAATAAAAGAGGTAAAGACGCATGACAAAAGGCGGTTAAAACATAAAGCATCTGCGGGTACTGCCCACCTCCCGCTCAATACAAACACACACACGGACGAATGAGGGAAATATTAGTCCATCGCAGGGAACTAAGTTCTCAGTACCCAAAACTGAGTAAAGAGAGACAGGGTGAAGTTTCTCGAAAAGAGTTACCATGTGATGGTATACTCAGAAATTCAACGGAGTAACCATCGAAATGAACCATTATGCTACCAAGAGATAAATACGACTGTGCCGCCAAATTCGGGCGGATCGCATTATCAAAAAAGAAAATAAGAAAGAAAAACAAGTCAAATAATTTCTATCTCAATGGGAGCTTTTGTTCCGTATATCCTCTTTGCCAAATGAGGGATTGCTCGAAGTGAAAAAGGGACATAACACTAAATAAGGGGATCCATCCGTCTGAGTGCTATCTAAGTCATGGACATGTCGACAAAGTTATAAAAGGCATCTATGTCTTGTGATGCTTTCATTGGATTGGGTGAGATATATATGGTGGAAAGTGAATCCCCGCAAAGCGATCGAACAGCTTCCGTAGTAATTCGTACACAATCACTGCTGTTGAACTCCAAACCAATAGCTGGACCTAGAGAAATAGTTATTAAAGAAAAACAATTTGAGACGGAGTCACAGGTAACACGAGAAATATAATCTGGACGTGCATCGACCATCTAGTTTGCGTGACTATACTAGCTATATAATGCGTCCGGGCGGGACCGCCGCCGGGCTGCAACGCACGCAACTGCCATCTCGCTAAAAAAAAAAGTTTTCCTCGCATGTAGAACATCAATCAGCGTGTAACAAGGGTTAAAAGTAACTTTGGTGTTTAATCTAATGTTTTGTATAAATCCAATGGAACAATTAAAAAATACCTTGTTGGGCTGCAGCCGAGTAGTCTTCAGACTGAAATATCCTCGATACATCTTCAGGCTTCATGGTTATTTCTTTTGTTTGGACTAACACACATGATCTCTAGGGAAAGGCAAAGACGCGAAAAAATTTACGTAATATTAAGGTGTAAATATTTAACAATTCTTCGTCGAGCCCGAATGGGCTGTGAGTCAATAGCCCAAGAGACCGAAGGCCTAATGGGCTATTGACTCAGAGGACATTCGGGCTCGAGGAATAATTGTTAATTAGTAAATTCCAACTAGTTGGTCAAAAATATCGAGATAAAACAACTTTAGCTAGTTAAAGCTAGACTTTAATGCTTTTTTGCCGCCTAAAAGGCGGCTCTTTTCAGTACAAGTAGGCTATAACATATAGCCTAGAAGTAGCTCAACCAATCAGAACGCAGCATTCTTAATACACCACTAGACCACTAGCTGGATTTTACTAATAAGTGAAATACGTTGCTCAAGTACATCAAAAGTATTCGGAGGTACTGAAAAAAAAGGGAAATTTTTAGCTTTTGGGTTTTCATCATGGAATATACAAAAATAATACATGACTATTTCGTTTGTCTCACGATATAGTCACTTGACATGTAGATCGCGACGTTTCCATTTCTTACCGCTGGTGTTCTTTAGGCCCATGGGGTACAGTGACAACAGGTATGCTGTATATTTGATCAACGTAGTTGACAAAACTACATGTAATTTTTGTGTTTTACTCCCCACCCATGTAGCGCCGCGGCACAGTTTCTGACGAAACGAACACCTTCATTTATTTGTTGTTACGGTGATTTTACGGTTATTTCCCGAGACCCGCCACCTTAACCCTATGACAAACTCATACGCTTTTGTCAGCGAGGTTTTATTAAGAAAGATCATCCCGCGATACTCAGAACTGAGAATATTCGTTGAAACTTTAAAAAGCCTTACCCGTGTTTGCTCATGTAACAGTTGCTTTATAATTTTCCTGACATTATCCTTGTGAAAAAATACCACTAGACAGGACTAAAGAGAAACAACGAGAACGTAAAAAAAGAAAGAGAGAGGGAAAAAAAAAGAAAGAAAGAAAGAATAAAAACTGAACAAAGTCATTACAGTCGTCGTTATCACAAAACCAGTACAAGATATACAGCCCTTCCCTCTCCATACAATGTATATAGCTGCTGGAGCATATATGGCGGTTTTCCATTGCAGTATGGGAAAGCAAAGGGAATGATTACTCCGCGGGCTCAGCTGGGTGTCATGGCACAGCAGTTAGTTCATTCTATTTACTAGATAAATTCCCATTTACTCTTTCTTGCTTGCAAAAGTACTTAACATTAGCCAAGAAAAGTACTTGTAAACGTGACACAATTTCAGCTTTCAAAACTATAGTGACAAAAAATTTGAAAAACTGTTTGGCTGGAATCCGTTTTAATCTTTTTTCAATTAATTTCCCTCAACCCTGTGCCTTACAGTCGTACACATTTCTTTAATGTTTTAAATAACGATTATGCTTATGTTTCGCTTAATTTGGTGGCCAAAGTCCTAGTGGCCGAACTTGGTTACATTTTGTCACACAGCTCTTTTGATATGTTACAAATGTAGCCATCACCAGACACCAAGATGTTTTGATAATACACATGTAAAGATGTTTAGGTAATCAGGGGATTCCAAGCGGATAGTCGATTGATTATTCAGTACATACCTCGTCAAAGGGTTTTCTTCTTGTTCCCAAAGTCTTTGGTATCACACTAAAATGTTCATCTGATTTAATTTGTACATTGGAGAATTTCTCTGTGTCTGGTAATGGAATATGATCTTCAACTCGAGCTGATGTATCCTGTGAGATAAAATACATGTTGAGAACAAAAAATTAATTTCCTTGTCCCCTGTGGAAAAAAACAAGAAAATAGCGCAACAGAATTGCATAATTACACATTAGGCCCGAATAACAGAACGATAAAATGTTAAAACAGAATGACAAAACATCATAACAAAACGACAAAATAGCACGGCAAAACAGGAAAACTGAATTTTGACCCTGATAACCCCCTATGGTCTTGTTACAAACTCCGAAATGGAGCAAACGTCTGTCGAGAGTTTGGATACTCCAGCGCTTATTGAGGAAAGCCATTCTCGCACAAAATCGATCGCTTCTTCGCGTTTAAGACCTTGTTTAACGTACATCAGCATCGCCCCTTTAAGGCGATCTTCCTGCCACGATGAAAACCTGTTATCTGCCATCTTCGAGCATCTTCAAGAAGCTTTCGAGAGAAAGCGTCGTAAACACAATACAAAATTTACGTGATGTACGCTAAACATGATGGTAGTGGCAGCGCTCGGCTGGGTCGAAAATTTTATTACTTCGGCGGAGCGCGAATTAAAGGATTCGCGACGCTCAGGAATGTCCCAAAGTTGCTTTTTTTGGGACAAGATTGGACACGCAAAGTCTGTAGGTATTTGGTTTTATTCGGCTATTTGACGAAATGAGAGCCGAATTAGTTCGAGATATCTCGAAGTCACTTCGATTTCTTTGATTTATTCTTCAGCTTATTCGGCTTGCCCAGGGTTTGAACCCACTTATCGGTGCGGCCCGTCAGATCAGAGGAGACTCTAAGTTGAGGGATTAGCCGATTGCGTGTCAACGATTTTTGTGGTCAGTGTCTTTGCATGAAAAATAGCTATGAAATGATGCACTAGGTTCGGGAAAAGATTGGACACGCAAGTTCGTGACTTTTCGGCTTGTTACTTCGGAGGAGTGCGAAGTAAAGGATTCGCGACGCTCACGAATATATCAAATTTGCTTCCGAATGTCCCGAAGTTGCTTCGGAATTAGTTCGAGATATCTTCGAGCTCTTATTTATTATTCTGACTAGAAATATTGACTGCAAAAGTACTTTACAAAAAACATTGAAGCAATTTGGGCTCGTAGCTTCAAAATACGAACGAAAATCGAGATACAAGAGCAATTTTCAGTGCGTCTCACTTCGCAGACGAGTTTGCTTGTGTCTTGTTATGTCGCGCGATATGTTTCTCCAAAGTGCGTTTCAGTTTGGCTTTTTACCGTCGAAACCTTCTTTTTCCTCTGAAATTTAGCTTGGAATTCGTGGAAAACCGAAATTTTGTTAGCCGATTAAATTCCCCGCCGATAGATCAAAGTTTCAGTTCTGTACCAAGGCCCGAAGTAACCATGTAATAATTTTCACGCGAACTGTACTGCCGTGTTTGTGTTTTTTTTTCTAAATCCAGCGGCCGAAATAATGCTAAATATGCCTTTCAATACACTTTTAAATGTTATGTTGGCGATGTTATAAATGAATTATCCTCAGTGTGGAGATTGAGCATTTTCAGCAAGTTTTGTACGGGAGTGTACTGATGTTAGTTAGTTACGTTGCTGGAGAAGGCGTGGAGTTAACTGTACATTAAGGAAAGTGTTGTTGTAGAGGAAATAAAGGAAGTGGAACTGAGATCTCGTCGTGCGCAATATATTTATGACAGAAATTATAATCGAATTGGGTATATAGCCACGCGGTCATGCACCAAGCAGACTTCCGGTGGAGAAGTTAAGACGTCTGTTACGCAAAAGGAGAAAAGTAAGGGTATTTGTATGGAAGGGTATGTAGGGAAAAATATCATTCCTTAATTCACAACCACGACGCCGAAGTGCACGCTCCCATAGCGTCTTACTTGATTTTAATTTCGATTTAATTTGATTTTACTTTGGTTTCATTTCGTTTTATTTTTGATTTTTTTAAAGTTAAAAAGAAAGTGGAAAATAACTACAGATAGAAATAAAAAATAATAATTCCTTCAAAATGTGGATTTCTCGATTAATTTCTTGATTGGCAGTTCTCGGCCACCATAGAGGAAGGAAATCAATTTTAACAAGAAAATGTCATTTTTACCCAAGAATTAATGATAAAGTAGGTAATATTGTAATTGCATTATCATAATTCACCATTTATGTTTTCTTAAATACCTCTGGTAACAAGCTCCACGTGGTTTCCCCAGCGGCAGGTGTAAAGTCATAAAGTTTACTCCAATTATTATTAAATATGCTTAACCTTGCTGCATCGAACTGACCTGAAAAATAAATTCCTCTTTGGTTAGTTATAATTATTGTCTTTTCTGCCAGATCTGTCCAATCTGGTGGTGTGGTGGAGGAGGGAGAAGCGAAAGCTCCTTGTTAAAATTACCATACACTGTAAAATTATTCCAAAATTAGTACCTGGGTCGAAAGGAGGGTACAGTAGTGCTACTTTGGAAGGGGAGGGGGCACTTATTTGAAGGGAGTCAATTATCATGGTTTTTCAAATTTTTAACTTAAAATAAAATGCACACTGTAACAGTAAACTATAGAACATATTTGCATTTTGTATAAAAAGAAACACAAATCTATGTATGGTTGCTCTTAAAGTCCTGATCTTCTAAGGTCCTCTTAATCCTTCTCCATGTACACCATACATGTGTATTTGGTGATTTTTTATTTCTTGAGGGAGGGTTGGTGGGGTACTTAATTGAACAGGGCACTTACTTTTAACCTCCAGAGAGGTGGTATTTTCTAGGGGTACATATTTGAAGGAGGACACTAATTTGAGCAGTTTAACGTACATTAAACAAAGTTTATTAAAGTTTCCAAGCAGTAATGAACAAAGAAATGATTTTTTTGGCCTACGCAGTATTTAATTATTATAAAGTTGAGCACAATGTATGTATTGTATAAAATGGTTGTCTGTCCTTTTCACTAAATGCATCACTTCTCAAATGTATGATTAATACAGAAGCTGGTAGGGCAGACCTTGAGAAAAAGTAGAACTGTCTGCTTACTACAAGTGTTTTCAGCATTAACTAATAATTTCACATATGAAATTTATATATACTAATTATTATTGCTATGGCAATGTTCTGTATATCTCAATATGGCATCCAGGTTTAAAAGATTCCTTGAGTGTTATAAAGTGAAGTGGAAATGTCAAAGAATTTTCATGTGGAATTACATTGCAACCTCAGTTTAACATATTTTAATGAAATCTCATTATAGCAATCAAATTAATTGCCAGTCCCTTGGCCCTTCATCAAGGTTCCACTGTACAACCTAATTTCACTTGTCACCATTTATTTGATTACACACTATCTAACTGAAGACCAATGCTGCATGTAAATAAAATACTTATAACAATCAAATTCAATCAGGGGCACCCAACGAGAGCATAGTTCAAACTCACTTAAACATAGCATTGTTAAACGTATTTTAGTATTTAAATGGTAGATATATGCATATTTTAATCCCCTAAAAATTTTTCATCTGTTTGGATTTCCTAGCTGAAAGTCTAGTGATCTGAAAATTATAGGGATCAAAAATTACCCTTTAGAAAATTTCAGCCAGAAAAAAGGCTCCCGAAAATTCTAGGCAACCTTTTTAGGGTAAAAATCCGTTAAAAATGGTCAATTATACCATTTTTTAGATGATTCAAAATCCTAGGAGAGGTAGGCAAGCAAGAAATTTTACAACAAATGTTCTGAAAATTCTCGATCTCAAATCGCATTCCGAACAGATATTTTCCGAAAATTGACGTTGGGTGCCCCTGGGCAATGTACTTGTACACATCAAGGACAAGTAACATAAAAATAATAATTTGAATGTTGATGATAACTATCTAAAATCATGTCTGTATACTGGTACTTCAGCCAGTTCAACCCAATGGTAATTTTCTTACCTTCAAGTTCAGGGTAAAAATACTGATAGCAAGCAAATTTCATTCCACTTGATGACTCAATAATGGGTTGAGTAGCACAACATAAAAAGAAGTCCATCTTCTTACAATCACGAGTTCTAAGAAGTGGAATAGATTATAGTTTGTTATAGTGACTCATCAAAATATGGTGCTCCTTGGTGTAAATTTTACTCCTTTTTCATTTTTACAGGCAGCACCACAAAGAGATTCACTACATGTATTAGAACTGAATGAATGCATTACCACAGGATCCAGTGAAGAACACCAAAAAAATTTCATACATGCATTAGAAATGTCAATTAAGCAAACACACCTGAACTGCTGGCAGGCTACCACAACTTTGCAGTCTTTGCAATCCCTAAAAAACACACTGCAACAACAATAAAACATAACAATACGCTGTAAATAACTTTTGTAGTACACAAACTGGGCTTCTAATGAAGGCTGAACTTAAGACAAGAAGCAAAGAAGCAAAACTGAATTACATGCATGATTCCTTGTTTATGTCTAATAGAGGATACTGTGATGCTATGGGAGGCAGAATAGTTGGATGTGCCTCAGCTGTAATAATTAAAATACTAACAATTACATGTACTTAGAAAATATTTGACTGGCGATGGTATGAATAATACATGTAGCTCTGATCATTAGTGACTGACGACAAACTTGATTACTCCTTATAATGCAAAAGAGAAAAGAGTTCTGTCACAGGTGAGAGCTGGGCATGTGCAGTGTAGACCTGCAGTATGTTTGGACATCATCACAGAAGGCTTCACTGGCGGCCACAATAAGTCAACTTACATGTAAGTAAGGGTTTACTGTAAGACACCTGAAGTGGAAACTGTGTGCAATGAGTGAAATGATATCAGTCAGACAAACCATTCCAATCAAGAAACATCCTACTCTCTTTTCAAACAGTAGTGCACACTGTACTTGCATTGATCAACCATATTACAGCATGACCATTAAGGTTTAATAACTCAAAAGAATACACTAACTAACCTTCCTCCACATGGCCCAAGGACAATACGGCAGTTGATGCAATCATCAATTGTTACAGAGTCTGTGTGATCCAAGATAAAAATGTTGCAGCCCTGCAAAAACATGTACTAAACATTATTAATGTAATGTTTTTTCTAGGGTAAACGATGCTGGGTTTCCACGGTTATAGGAAGCGCGTTTACATAACATAACAGTTGTGTCAATAAAGAAAGAGATTTTGATACAAATTGTAGGGTGGAGGGGTAAAAAAGCGCTGTTACCTTTTTGGTAAGTATACATGTATTACAGTATTTTAAATTTTCAAAATACCTGGCAATTCTGGATAATAAATTGCTGTCCATTTATTTCTCCTGGCAGTTTCCCAACTGTTTCTCCTGTTACATTACTGATAGAGTAGTCTTTTGGATCCAATTTGGCTCTTTTGTCCCTGTAATTGATTTCATTTTATATACAAGTTTAACTGTCTCTCTCTTTTTTCCCTAATAAGTGTTTTGCATGCTTGCAAACCTCACAATGCAAATCGGTAGTGCTTTGTGAATTCAGATGAAACATGCATAAAATTGTTTAAATTGTTGGCCAGTAGCACAATCTTGAGGCCTTAGCTGCTCTATTATTTTAACTGTCAACAACAACAGTCCTATTCAGGACTACATTCACCCGGACAATCAAACTCAACCTACTTTCTATTATTTTTGTTACATACTTTTGAGCTTTTTCTGATCCACAGTACCAACACTCCTTCAGATGATGCCATGGGTCAACGAAAACTTGAAATATTAAAAAAACAAAAGAGAGTAGCTATAAAGGACTCTTTTGACCCATCTACTTGGGTGAAGTGTTGGTTACTCAAGCTGACACCTTTTTCAACCCTAACCTAAATTTAGGTTAAACGTAAGTGAATTTTTAAACTTGCACTTAAAAGTGATGACGTTTGGAAATCAAACAGTCCATTTTTAAATTATGATAGCCTTTCTTAACATATGTGGGTCAACTTGTAGATTATCGACTCTCCAACCTTGGGTTGCCTGTGCTATCACCTGGTGACAGCAAGAACTGGAAAGATCGTAAGGAAAGTTTTAAAACAGCTTTTGCGTGAATTTCCTTTGATCTTGTCACCTATCTTTCTCTCTTTTTTTAAATCACACTGTAAAAGATTTGTTTAAGGAAGTAGACGGTGAGAGCAAGCGTTTTCAGATTCCGATCGATAGATCAGGAGGCAAGCTTACCAGCTGTAAGTTGGTTTTTCCTCGGTTTTCTCTCCGTTAGAATCCTTATCTTCCTTCGATCCTAAGCATCCCATGTTATGTACAGTGTTAAAGAACGTAATTTATAATCCTTAAGAGTTAAAGCCAGGGAGTTTTTTAAAAAAATCACATGTAAGTTTTACAATATGTACAAGCTAAGCAGTGCCTATGCTGACAGCAGATAAGAAGCTTGGGAACCACCCCGTGTTAACCCCGTGTTACCAAGGCGCTCGTGACGCCACTCGCAATTTTAGGCCACGCGAGGATACTCCCGTCACGTACGTGGGAGGCTAACTCGTTCATTGCGTTATTTACAAAAAACTAAGCAAAGATTGTTGTTTTCCCAGTTCAAAGTTTGAAATATCACCAACATACTGTTAATTTACTTACCTTTTTGAAAGTGTGCTTAAAACTGATGTTACTGCCGGCGATATTTGTCTACAGAATTTCAGTAATTTACTTGAGTGCCCGGGGGGATACTCCCATACATTACCTATACGGGTATGTGCCGCCCAAAGGGGTCGTGATTTTGAAGCTCCTGATTTAGAACGGGGTATCCATTTCAGAGGCGTTTTCTAGAACGGGGTATAAAAAATTGTGGATCACGGCTTTATCTTCTGCTTAAAATTGTTGCTGATTATGAAGAAGCGCTTATTTGATGTATAAGTCGAACAAATAAAGAAATATCTTTTAAAAAAACAGGGCTATTTCAATTTACAAACTTTCTAGAACGGAGTATAAAAAATTGGCCTATTTCTAGAACGGGGTATAAAAAATTGGCCCATTTCTAGAACGGGGTATCAATTTTAGGAGAAATTTTTTTTAGAACGGGGTGCCAATTTGGAGTCAAGGGCGGCACATACCCACCCAAAAAATACCCAAGTGTCCCCCTCCCCCGCCCCGGGCTTGAGCGCAAAATTTCGTTTTTTTCGTTATTTTGAGAAAAATAAATACATGACTGTTTATTTCAGAAACTCATTGCATCAATACGTTGTACATATAAGGCAACTGGGAAGCTAGTTTCGGTCCAATTTCAATAAAATGGGAATTTAAAGTATTTCCAGTACTATCTGCAGGGGTAGTATAATTTGTGTTGTCATATTCTATGTCTTTAAATGACGTTGTCCTTAGATTATTACTCGGTAAATTGTTAATCCCTTTCCATGTCTGATTTATGTTTTCAGTTTGAATTTTCTCTGATGAAGTAATTTCTATGGTATTTCGTAATTAACTTTATTTCTAATACTTTTGTAGTCCAGCCATGCAGTTCTTTTCAGTATTGAACCTGTTAACTATCTTTTTAAGCTTTTCTCTTTCAAACATAAGTTTCTCTTCTCCCACACGAAATCAGAGTGACATAAAGCCCAGTCCACACGAATTCGGGTAAAAAATACGGGTAACAATGTACTTTCGCAAAGAAATCTTTTTAATTGAGAGTTGCTTGAACCTTGATGTCAATGCGACGAGAAATGAACGCTCTTGGCACAGAAATAAGCAATCAATGCTAGAAGTGGTGCAAGGTGGCATTCAAAGCAGCTTGTTGACTTGTTTATCTGCAGTAGTTGATGTTGCTCCTATCTAAACCGTGAATAAGCATGAAGCAATAGTCGTAACTCCAATAATGCTACTACACCGTTAGTCTGTTCCAGGCGTTCAGATGGTGGAGTATGGCGCGAATTCAGAAAGTGGGAAAAAATAGTGAGAGAGGGAGAACAATTACATCATCGAAATTGTGTTTCTGGCAAAAACGCTAACGACTATTAGTAAAATCCAACTAGTGGTCTATTATCAATGCTGTGTTCTGATTGGTTGAGCTACTGACTAGGCTTTATGTTTGGCGGGAAAAAAGGATTAAAGTCTAGCTTTAACTAGCTAAAATTTTTTTATTCTCGATATTTTTGACCAACTAGTTGGATTTTACTAAAACAATTATTCCTCTCGCCCTCATGGCCTCTGAGTTAATAGCTCATGCGGCCTTCGTCCACATGGGCTATTTACTCAGAGCCCATTCGGGCTCGAGGAATAATAGTTAATTATAATTTGGATTCCTTTAAAAGACGGCAGATAATATACAGGCACTGAAGGAAAACGTTTATATTTGGATTTAATCAGTAGGAACGGTAGCCTTGTCGGTGTTTGAAAGGCCAAATGTTCAAGATACTTGGCATACGTTCACACGGCAGGCACCGGCTGTTTTAAAAAAGTTCGACCGGCGGACACTTTGTTCACATGGGACCGTTCAATATTTTCGCTCTGTTTACAAGGAACTTTCAACGGCTAGGCGTCTAAATTTTGTTACGGTTAAGGTGACTCCGTATGAATGAAAAGCCTAGACGCTTGAATTTTTCAACTGGTAAAAAATTCGTCCGGTGCCGTGTGAACAATAGCCTTATTATCTCATCTTTCACATTTATTCATCAAGTTTAAAATTACCATCTTTCTTGACTTCAAAGCAAGAAAAGTGAACACAGACAGAGTTCTAGTCCTTCTATCATAACCCGTGACCAAGCCCCATTTTCTTCTTGCCTGGAAAACGATTCTCGCGCTCCCGGAAAGGTAAAATTTGATGGGGTCTTACATTAATAAATATAGCCTGATGGCAGGTTTAGTGTATTCAAAACTTTTCATAGTGATTTCTGCAACAAAAGAAACTGTATAATTTTCCTTCCTTTTAAAAATGTGCAATGCAAAGGTTGTAGCAAGGGTGGCCAGCCAAGGACAACCCAAACATTTGTGTTAATAACACGTTCCATGAGTTACGATCGTGGAGAATGATTACCTGTCGCAAAACAAGACACAAAATAGAGCACGAAGTGTGAGATGAGAAGAAAAACCATAAAAAAAAAGACAAACAAAGAAACAAATAAATAAAAACAAACGCACCCCAAAATAGTTTACTTGCAAGCAGTCAAAAATATTCCCCTTTGATAGAAAAATCCCAAACTCTTTATTATTAACTCTTTATTAAAACTGGTACCTATTTAACAATTATTATAGAGAAAGAACTTTTACAGCATTAAATAAAATCGGTAATATTTGAATTTAGGAGTGAGGAGCGAGGATTTTGTCATAATTAAAAAAAAGGCATCAGCTATGCAAATATACCCAACTTTTAAATTTTCCTTATTTTTAAAATAAGCTCATTTTTGTCAGCTCATGTAAATCTTTGATCTCACAATGTCCTTTTCTTTAAAACACTCGGAATAGATTAGCTTGGCTAAGTACAGATGAAAACCAACAATTAAAAACGCAATCGTAACCCAGAACTTTGCTGGCAATCCGGAACGATGATGTACGTGACGATTCTTGAGAGATTCTGAAACAAAAAGCAAAAATTCTAGTTAAAGTAAGTCAATCAAAGCAACGATACGAATGGATATCAATAACAATTTTTGAGAGATTTAATGTCTCATCTAATAGCAGAGCGAGGACCAAACAAGTGAATGTTATATGTGATACTCGCACCTCTATTTTCAGCTTCAGAATTCCACAATTGACCCGGATTTGAACTCTGACCATTCGCACATCTCCCATAATACACCTTGTTGTCACCTAAAACTTTGCATAACCTTTGTTCTTTTCTATTTCTCCTGGGTATTACAACCGTCGCAAAATGTGTAAAATTTGTTTTTTTTTTTTTTTGGGGGGGGGGGGGGGGGGAAAAAAAGGTTTTTTTGGGGGGGAGGGAAAAGGGGGAAAGAAAAAAAGTTTTTAAAACCACCAAATTTTCCCTTTTTAAATCCCCAATCACCCCCGCCCAAAACCCCCCCCACATCTGGCCGCCCCTCCAAGAGGGGGCAGGGGGGGAAAAAGGGAGAGGAGAAGGGAAATAAAAAAACCCCTTCCCAAATTAGCTGGAAAGGAGAAA